GACATGCCTAAGGTGAAGCATTTACAGAAATGTGAATGTGACCATTATTATACAACCAAGGTTTTCTACTTCTTTAGAAAAAAATTAATGGTTAACTCAATATATTGCACTTAGTAATGTTAAGAGAGTACCATAAAACACGCTGTTCTCTTTCACTCAGCTGAACCTAAGTTAGAATCAGTCAGCTTTGAAATTTCATGACTTTCGGGGTGCAGAATTCACCACCTCCACAATGTATTAGCATTATTTTCCCATCTGAGCCCTCTTGGGCAGCAGCAGTAATAATCTGTGGTGTGTGTTAGAGGTTAGGACTGAACCTTCCTTGAGCTCCCAGGAAAATCACCACCTCTCCCTTCAGTGTGGGGTTTGTCAAACTCACTTCCTCCAGCTGTGGAGGCTGATTTCCCAGTGTACTTCACGTTCTGGTCAGGCACTTTCATCAGGTGCTGAAAGACAAACACGGGCTTTAATCTCCCAGGCTTGAAGTCACCAGAATGGCCAATCACAGGCAGTGAGAAGCCAGGCTAGGAGAGCAGCAGAAACAGAGCTTTTCAGCCCTCATGTGGTTTAACTCACATTTCAGGGACAGCTCAGGGGCAGTCAGAAATTGCTCCAGACAGGGTGGTGAGTTGGGCCCTGCTATTTGGGTAAAATCATAGGGAAGTGTTGAGTCTGAGATGAGTTAATCGAAAGTGTGTGAGAGACACATTTTAAGGGTCAATTTAAAATTTAGCAATGAGATGATTTTAAAATCACCTTTAGGACTGGGCCATCATTTTGATGGGGCCATCTTGTTCATCCGCATTCACAGAACACACAGCTGCTGTGGTTTAACTGTGCCCTCTTTTCCTATAAATGAGTTAAATCAACAACCTGATGACTAGCAGGGTAAAATGTGGCAGAGATGTTCCTTACATCCCAATCCTACTTTACCTTCAACACCCAGATCAAATTCCCTTCTCTTGTTGACACCATTCTCCTTGGATTCTTGTCTTCTTTAAGGGACTCCAACATGTACCAGAAGCGAAGTAGAAAGAGTTTTCATGGTTTTGTGGCTGCACAGATCTAGATCTGAACTCCAATCTCCATTTACTCACTGTAGGATCTCAGGCATTTCATTTAACCTCTCTAGGCTTCCATTTCCTCATCTGAAAATTGGGGAAATAATAATACCCATTTCACAGAGGTGTTGTGAGGATGAAATGAGATACAGAGTCGAACTGTTTAGTCCAAAGCCTGGCCTGGAGTAATGCTTTTAGCCACTGTTGTTACTGACATTCTTCCTGCTTTTTTCGTTATTTTTCCTTGTCCTTCAGATTTCTGAGTTTAATGTGGTTATTTTGAACTTGGACAAAAGCTTTTACATTTTATTCCCTACTGGTGTTGATTTAAGATATGCTTTATTTCCAATGAAATAGCTTTTCTTGAATTTTTATTAGACACGTGGTGCCTCATATTTTCTCAAACATCATTAAGAACAGAAACATCCTAAAAATTGAAGTCAAGTACATGCAGAAGTTAAGGGTCTTCAGTTTTAAGGCCCTCTGTTGACCAAGCCACTAGAAGCACTGATGACCTTTGCTGGCTTTTCAGTTTTCTGTTGACTCTGAGGCTCTGGTGTTGGCTTAAGGTCAGCTGTTAGAAAACAGTGAATTTATGCTTTGGTCACACTGTGGGAGTCAGGCTCCTGCTAAGAAAGGCCTCCAGAAAAGCCAGGAAGTTGTAAGTAAAGTTCTTTTCATTTGGATGTTGCCAGAAAAAACAGGCTGAGAACAAAGACTATTATTATAAAATACTAAAATAAGTCATTACTCATCTTCAAGCATTAACAAACTTAGCACATAGTAGGTGCTTAATAATCACTTACTGCATGATAAGTATGACACTTCTTATGTGGAGTCTCCATTTACCTGGAGACAGGCCTTTTCTGGAATGGTTGACAATAGTCAGTCCTCCCTACCCAAACCCCTACAAAAGCCTATAAATAAATGTTCACACAATTTGAAACTTGTCATTTTATTGACTTTAATCATTGTCCAAAGAGAAATTCCTGGAGATAAATATATGTGTGTATATCTACATATATTTATATATATATACACACACACACATATATACACACTCTCTATATATACAGCATCTCTATATATATATATGTTAAATCAACAACTCTCTCTCTCTATATATATATATAGAGAGAGAGTGAGTGCATGCGTGTGTGTGTGTGTGTGTATATATATATACACACTCTAAATATTAGGAAGCATAATTCTGGTAAAAAATAAATTTTGTCAATCAAGAAATTTTCCTCAGGCAAATTTCAGCTTTATAAAGATTCCAGTCCTTTGCAAGGACTGGGGGATGCTGCAGTCCTCCCCAGCGCCTCAGCATGGGTCAGCCTCCGCTACACTAACCCTCGGGGGAAGGTATCTGTGCAAACATTCAGCTGCCACCCCTCTGCCTGACCCTGCCTAGAAGAGCAGTGCATTTTGACAGAATTGTGGAGGGAAACACCCTCCAAAAAAGAGCAAAACAAACACTGTAGGGTCACAGCATTTGTCCTCGGGATACAATTCTTTATTGCTTATAATTATAATCAATAGAGTACTGTGAAATCTAATACTAATCTCTTTTTTCTTTTCTGTATACATGGCCTTTTTCATAGTGCACACTCCCATCTATCCACTGGGGGAATGGGAGGTGGAGTAGGAAATTAGGATTCTTTCAATAGCAATTTTGAGTCCCTAATAAAGCAATGTGAGGAAAGATAAAGATTTTAGATGTGTTTATGCTGCTATTAACACAACAAAACCTAGGTCTGGACTTGAACATGGAGATTGCTAGAAACCAAAGAGAACTCAAGATAGAATACAAGGGGAATTCACATAAAACAGACAGAAAAAGTACAAAGAGGATCTCCTCTTCTAGTTATGAGAGTGAGAGGGCAGGAGAAATGGGGCAAGAGACAGGCCAAGGTCTGTGGTGACCATCCACTCTTGGGGGTGAAAATAAAGGAGGAGGGCACTATTCCTATCCAACTAGGCATGGACCAGCCTGAGAACACTGGAGCCAGAGGCCTGCATCCTTTGATGCAGCCTAAGAAAGGTTGTGATTCTCAGGCCCGCATCCAAGATGGTGATGGGAAGGGCCAGCATAATGCTCCCTTAGGGCCAGATGGGGCCAGCTGCATCTCAGTGAGCCCAAGGACCCATAGACTACACCTAAGTAGCCACAGGTCCCTCATGAGGACACAGCGGACAATGCCTGAGCTACAACATCACATAGAGCCAAGGGATAATACAAGGAACTGAGCGCATGGATCCAAGAACCCTTCTCTTCCTCCTTGTTCCTCTCCACCATTCCATTTAGTATGTGTCACCTCAGATGGGAGCAGTGGGTACAAGGAAGAAATTGGATGAATACATATCTAAAAGAAAATAAATCATTTAAATGAGACTATTTAAACCAAAGATGCAATTAACAGAGATGCTAACTGGCAACTTTAAAAACACTATCCTCTGCTCTGTCTCCCAGGAGGGTGGGTATAGTGAGAAAGACTGGATAGCTGATAGAAAATACTGGACGTTTTCTTTGCACATATGTGTAATAATGTTAAACTATAACATGTCTATGCTATAAAACAATTGTATATTTTTAACAGCTCCCCTTTTATACAAAGGTTTTGAGGCAGCTATAATCTATGTATTGGAAAATAAACACTCAAGGAAAGATCAAAAGACCTTTAATTAGTTTTAGTTATTTGTCATGAAGGAGCGAATGCTGAATTTACACTTAGTATATGTGTTTTAACATATAGAAGGTTAGTATGAGAAGTGTGGTAACTTGCATTTTCTTTATTCACGGAATGTCAATATTTTTGTGGAAGAAAAGAAGCAAGAACTGTCTTATTAATGCCTTTATTTTCAGCACTTCGTAGACTTCCTAGAGCATGGTATGTGCTCAGTTAATATTTATTGAATGAATAAATGAAAATACAAATTGCTTAGCCTCAGAATGGATAGCTTAGGACATTTTTGGAGCTCTCTCAAGCCATTACTGTTGCTATGGGCTGAATGGAAGAGCCAGGGGAATCTGATGTGGCAGGAGGAAAGGGCTCTTGGTTACCCCATCCCCACTCTGACAAAACCCGCCAAAGAAGGAGATGTGAGGACTTTGCTGTGCCTGGACACCCTACTCCCATAGGCTGTAAGGCTAGTGTGAGTGTGTGTGTGTGTGCGTGTGCGTGCATGTGCAAGGGGCAGTGTTTTCTGGGCATGGGTGCTTGCTGCAGCCTCAGGTGAACGAGTACAACCTTTGCTGATACCCCATGGAGAGGCATCTAAGAACTGAGACTCTGGTCCCAGGGCTAGTCTAGGAGGCAGGGAAAGAGCACAAAAACATAGTCTCAGGGAGGCCTAAATGCTATCCAATTGTACATCAAGATCATGCTTTTTTTTCTCCCTCTAATATTAGAGGTTCAGGGACAAAATTAAGCCAGATAGAAAATTGTAATGGAATTGAGAATGTGATAGTGCCGGCATCATAAAGGAAAACGGTAGGAAGTGAAGTGTTTTGTCTCAGGGAAGACACTGTGGAGCATGGATTTGGCAGATCTGATGCAAGACCCTCCTGATCACAAGGCTGGACTGAGTCATGGGCTGTGCCTGGCACATAGCCTTTGTTTGCAAATCACCCAGTGGCCGAGCCTGAGTTTGCCTTGTGCACTCCTGTGTGCATAATTTTTAAAAACAAAACCTTTTCCCATGCTCTTCAGGAGACTGGCCTTTTGCAATACAGTCAATCAGAAAACATTGCTCAGAAACAACATACCATAAGAGCAGGATTGAGTCTTGAGAAGATTGAAAAGTGGGGAGAATAATTTAAGACTGCCCAGAAGGCATTAACTAGTATTCCACTTTCATAGATCAACTTTTATAGATTCCATAAGATTATTCTGAACTTCATCCAAAAGACAATCACTTGCCTTAATGTCTGGCCAAGTTGTTTCATGGGGTCCATAAATCTCAGATGGCATTAGCTGGCACTGTTAGTGATCAAGATCACTGGTTGACTAAATCTGCACTGGAAACAGACATGTTAATCCACCTAGTTAATTCACTGTGGTAAGTAATTACTGAACACTTATCTAATTAGCTAACGCTTTTACCTCTCAAACCCAGAGGTAAATGCCAGATTGAAATTGGTGGTTCTCCTCATTATACCTTAAAAATAAAATTGAGAGATATGGCATGGAATATCAAATAAAAGTGTGCTGGTGCCCATGGTAGTGAGTGAGTATGGTGAGTCTCAAAATTGCCAGTGGTTCCTGGGAAGGAGCAGCAGGTAGACCAGCCTGAGATGAGTCAGGGGTAAGAGACAGATGTATTATTACAAGCTATCAACAATAACTACTGTCCTAAGTTACAAAGGCAACACACATGTTAAAGACTATTTTGCCTCATAGTCATCATTACCTTTTCCAGGATAAGTGTCCACAGGAATTTTTTGATATCTGGGCACAGTTGCAAATGTCTAGTTGGTGGTAACAATGGCAAGATTTAGGCTACATGGATTCCTCAATATAAAGTCCCCTATCCTTTTTCCTTCCTATTCTGTAAATTTTGCTGTCTGACCAAGATGGGCCAAAGGAGGCCAGTGTGACATTCAAAGAGTTTGCCAAGAATGACTGTCACCAGGAAGAGGAGCGTCTTCTAACATGGAGAACTCAGTTAGGATATGAGCACTTGATTCTTGACTGTGATGCACATTCTTAGAAATCCAAGCATATTAGGAGGTGTCTTGTATTTGCTGCTGTTTGGCATTTATAGACATTTTAGGTTCTGATTCGCCTGAAAGCCATGAGACTATGTTCTTGAAGCTCTCACCAGCATAGAACTTCAGTTGATTGTTCTGGGAGTGAAGGGAAAAAAGATCAGGATGAAGTTATCTAGTTTTCTAGATTTTTCCATCCCCAAAGTGAAAAGTGAGAAACATTAGCAAAAGTAGTGAATTCATGCCTTTCTTGGCAGAGGCTCCGTTTTCTGAAAATACTATGCTGTATTATTCCATGTGGATTAACCCCTGATTCAATAAATTTTACCAACAGCCTATAGTTTAGAGAAAGAGGCCCTGGGAAATAAGTTTTTTTAAAAAATTATCAGTCCTTCTGTGTGAACTGGAATAAGTAAAGTTCAGATAAAGGGACATTCTGAGGTCCTGACTTTGGATGCTTTCCTAACTTGTGATGACAAAGAATGAAAACAAGTTGGTGAGGGACTGGATGGAGAGGGGAAACTGAAATGTTTGAGAACTGGACGTTCTCGTATGTATTGGACACAGTTTTGAGAAGACCTGGTAGGCGTGGTATAGAAACCAAAAGAGGACTTGTATCCGTATACAGTTTTCTCAAAGCAAATAAGCCTGTTTGCAACATCGAACCTGTGTTGGGATCAAGGACAAATGTAAGGGAAAGGTTCTCACCAATAGTTAACAAGCTAACCAACCTGGTCAAAGAGCTAGGATGGCACACCATCAAAGGGGACCTATCTTCTTGAGAAAGTTCTGCTCTGAGAACTGGGCTGTGGTATAAAAGGCATGTCAGGGAGGGCGTTTTTTATTTGATAGGAAAATTTAAAATGCTAAAGGAAAGTTTTTCATAGCAATTTTACAGGAAAACCTAAGTTTTAAGAGAGGGTATCATTCTAACTTGGAACTGAACTATTATGACTAGATCTATAATAGCAAGTCACAATATTTCTCTTTCTTGACATCAATTTAAGAGTGACTGCTCACATAGTAGAGAGAATGGCTTCGGTTATACCTGCCTCCAATAGTTCCATGAGATCTGATAGGAATACATATGTTGGGTGAGTAATTTTGATTTTCCAAATTTGTTTTGATCAGATGGATGCTCCTTACATTTTGTATTAAATGATTAGATAATGGGCCTCTATAGTTATCACTGGATACAGCTCATAAAACAATAAAAACAATGCAAAATGTCTTTTTAATGACATTTTTCTCCTTGATTTTGGGGGTTAGGGGTTGGCTCATCTAAGAAAATGGGGCAAAATAAGTCAAAAAAATATGCAAAAATTTAGCCAACCTTCAGTAGTAAACAAATTCAAGGTTCAGCCTGGGACTCACCATAGCGTTCAGCCCTTAATTCCAAGACCATGCGCTGCAATTGAGAAATAATTAAAAGGGTCTCTCAGTGCCTGAGGGAGGTTTAATTGTGTTGCAGGATATTGTGGAGTGATTTAATATGCTTGTGATGGACCTTACAGAGAATTTACTTCTGAAATACCGTTTATGTGATTAATCTCATGGGTAGATATAAAATTGCTGAAGCTGTCTACAAATTTAGCTCCAGTTCCTGCCCCAGGTTAACAGAACACAACAGAGCATTAATCATCATGAGGCATAAGGAGATTTTGATGGTTCCCTCTGATTTCCTGAGAGTTGTGTGAAATGTCTTGCTCAGAGCCTCCATTATATCAGCATTTCAGAAAACACTCCATTTGCCCATCCCAAACAGAGGTAGCCTCCTGCCTGTTCCCTTCCTCAGGGAAGCCCAGGAGAAAGAGAAAAAGAAAAATTATGAAGACGAAGGTAATGGCAAATGGAAAGACTTCTTCCCAGCCAGCAATTTCCTTTGTTTGGCAATATTTAATACTCATCATGTAGTGTAATTTGTCATGATTTACTAAAAAGACTATTATCTGTATTAGGAAACGAAAAAGAGTTTGAAGAGAAAACAACACGTACAAACTTATTTAGTAAAAAGTATATATTTTGGAAAAATCAAAGTATTGCAAAAACTACATTCATATTGGGTAGAAATTTGGCGTGAAATCCCAAACAAGCTTTTTCTTTGGTACTGACAGAGTGATCATCTTAGACGTGCTGCTTGATGAACCCAGTGAAACAAGACACTTCTACAGACAGTCCCCCAAATTTTCTGACTGAGAAATCATTAGACAGTGGGCCAGGGCATCAAGGAAAAGTAATCCTAATGAATTAATGTATTATAATACAAGTGAAAATAATTAATGGCTCTGCTGGTTGGAGAATTTCTCCCCGAAGATAGGAAGAGTGGTATAGATGAGTGATTTTTAAAACACCAAAGCCCAGGTCTCCTTGAGGAAGTCAATCTGAATTTCTAGAGATAGGCTCTAGGGATTAAAGTTCCCCTGGTGGTTCTGATATGTAGCTAGAGTTTGGAATCACTAGGGTAGAGGAATAAGACTCTTTTATAGAATAATGATTCATAGATTCAGTTGGGAATCCAAAGGAATATTTCCAGGTCGTGAAAGTAGTCTTGGCAGAGTGAAACAGAAAGTGTAATAGAATTTGGAAGAAAAAGTGGATGGCAGTGTTTGTCAAACTTTAATGTGCATGTGAATCACACAGAGTTTGTTAAAATGCAGATTTTGATTCAGCAGGTGTGGGGTGGAATCTAAGATTTTGCATTCCTAAGGAGCTCCCCAGGTGTGGCTAATGCTGCTGGTTCACTGACCACACACTGTATAACAAGGGACTAGGGCTAAATTCTTGCCTCACAAGAGAAGAAAGGAAATGTCCCTTTGCTTTGAGATTTTGAAGCTTGTTCTGTAGTAGTAAGTGCACTGATACCATGGAATACTTTATTTTGGAAACTAGGTATGTATGACCCAGTAACTAATTAAAAATCTATTACTCTAGATGTTTTTGAGAAGGAAATTAATAGTATTTTGTTCTACTTTCTGAACAGTCCAATTTAATTCAACAATAGAATTTGTTAAAACTTAGGGATTCAAGAAAGATATTTGAGATAGCTTGCCTCAGGGGATTCGCAGTCTTTCTAGGGGGATGGAAACTTAACTACATTACAATGTGAAATGCTATCTACCAGCACTAGCAAGAAACAAATGCTTTGGGAACACAGTAGGAAAAAAATTAATACTGACCAAGGAGAGAAGATGCTTGGAAAAGCCTTTATGGAAGATGTAATATTTGAATTGGACCATGAAGGAAAATTGGAATTTTGGTAGGTGAAAAGTAGAAGAAAGGGGGAAGGATGTTTGAAGGACAAAGGCCTGAAGCAGGGGTTCTCAACTTTGGCTGCACCAAAGATCATTTGAGAAGATTTTTAAAATACTTAAATTTTTTAGATTTAAAATACAGAGTGTCTAAATTAATTAGTGCCTGGTCAACAGTGTTGTTGTTTTTTTTTTTTTTTTAAAGCTCCCTGGTAATTTTAATGCACAAAGTGAGAATCAATAAAGATATAGAAAGACACAAGTCTTGGTAAAATATTTTGAAATGTATGGAATGAAAAGCATGTGGAAAGGCCAGGCATGGTGGCTCACACCTGTAATCCCAGCACTTTGGGAGGCTAAGGTGGCTGGATTGCTTGAGGTCAGAAGTCTGAGACCATCCTGGCCAACATGGTGAAACCTCATCTCTACTAAAAATACAAAAAATAGCTGGGTATGGTGGTGGGCATCTGTAATCCCGGGTACTCAGGAGGCTGAGGCAGGAGAATCGCTTGAACCGGGAGGCTGAGGTTGCAGTGAGCTGAGATTGGGCCACTGTACTCCAGCCTGGGTGACAGAGCAAAATTCTGAAGGAGAAGAGAAGAGACGAGAAGAGAAGAGAAGAGAAGAGAAGAGAAGAGAAGAGAAGAGAAGGGAAGAGAGAAAAGAAGAAGGAATAGGAGAGAGGAGAGAGGAGAGAAAAGAGAGAAGAGAGAAGAGAAGAGAAGGCATGTGGAGAGAAATGGGAGGAACAAAGAACAAAGAAGTCCCAGACAGTTCTTGGCAAAGACGTCTTGACCCACTGTGGTGTGGGGGTAGATACATTTTATCACTGATAACTCTAGTGGCATATGATTACTACCCAAATAACCAAAAGCTACAAATGATATGCTTCATAAATATGAACTGGATTGAATTAAGGTCATTCTTATAGCCGTCATCAGCTCACTGTCTTGCATTTCGTGGTATTTTACAAAGAAAAGAGAGGAAGGATTGGTGTTCTAGCTGTACTGCTGTGATGGGGGTTTGAGCCAGGGCCATGGCCACTGGGGTGGAAAGAAAGTGGTGTATTCAGCATGGTTGGTGGAGTCCTCAATGGCAGTGCTGTTCAAAGTGTTGTCCACAGATCATCAGCGTCAGGACCAACGAGGAGTTTGCTAGAAATGCAAATTTGGACACACATCAGCAACCCGCTGAATCAGAATTTCCAGAAGAGGAGTCCATGAAGTGTCTGGCTGATTCTTATGCCTGCTACACTTTGAGAAGATAAAATAAAATACAAATAATTTACTCAAGTTTGCACAATTAGGACACATATGGTTGAACTTGTACTGGAACACAGGCAATCTGAATCCACAGCCCAGTAGCTTATATTCCACAGCCTCCCATGCGAAGAAATAAGATGACCATTACAGTCAGAACTGAATAGAAATGGCTGTTTTGTAATTTACTGGTTGTTAATCTTGCACAAGTTTCTCAACTTCTGTAAGCCTTGGCTTCTTTGTTTGTAAACTAAATTATTAATCTTACCCAGTTAATACAGCAGTTATGGGACAAATGAGTTAATGAATTTGTTATATGCAGTTTTCATGCCATTTTCATGCTTAGTGCTATGCTTGGCACATAGAGAGAGTAAATATTCGCCATAATTATTGTTATACTGCATTGCTTCTCAACAAATAATTTAACCCTAAAGGAAAGTTTACATTCAGACTTTCTTTCTTGTGAGCTTTCTCTCAAAATTCTTTTATATCTTCTTTGTGTAATTTTTTTTTTCCAGAAAAAGGTTTGTTCATGTTAAAAATCCTTACTTAGATTCAATGGATGAAGACACTCTCTATCACTTGGATTTGGGAACAAAAACACACAACCTACCAGCAATGTTTGGAAATGTAAAGGTAAAAACATTTCTAATTTCAGGAAAAATGATTGAGTTTTTTCTACTAATTTTTCTTCTTACCTTGCCAAAATAATCTATACACCATTGGCTAGCAAAGTCCCAATAGGAACTAAGTCACACTTATTCTCTGAAACAATTTGGAATGTGCATATCATGAACAATCATTTCCACCCCAACAAGACATAAAGGTTCCCAAACTAAATCTAATGCAAACATGCTATTTGACTACTCTGGTCCCTGGAGATAAATACAATTTTATTGACAATACTGCTGGGTGTTGAGAATTCATTATGTTTTAACAGATTCAGCTCACTATTTAACATCTACATTTATAGCTTAATCTCACTAGTTCTCGTTTTATTAAATCATAAAAATAACTCAACAAAACTAACAATATTATTTCACTTCTGGAAAATAATCATTATCTAATATTTCATATTAAGATTTTGTTTCATAGGAAATATTTCATAAAAATTATTTATTAAATACTACATAAAATTGTACTTCTGCATTATTTGTTTTATCTGACATGTATTTTAATTATATAAGCAATTTGTGTTCCTTATTTAAAACAAGGAATACAAAAAAGAATATGATTTTTAAAAAACACCCAGTAGTCCTATCACCTAAACATAGACACGATCAACTCATTTATTTCTTTCAATCATTTTTAATGAATAGACTTTAAAATAGTTGTAATTATAGAGCTGCATTCTACACTTTATCATTTAGCTTTACATCATTAACATTTCTCCGTATTATTACATTCTTTTGAAACACATCATTTATGGGTGTCAAGTGGTGTACCACACATTACAGAGACTATTATTAACTTTTATGCTAAAATATTTTCCATTATAAACAGGACTCAAATGAATGGTTTTGTACCTGAAGATTTTCTACATTTAGGTCAGTTTGCTTAGGGTGATTCACAGAAATGCTCAAAGAGACTGGATTTTTAAAGAACTTTGTTTTCCAAAAGACTATATCTATTTACAGTTGCACTAATGGAGAATTGCGCAGTTTTCATCTGACTTTTTCATTTCTTTGGCAATTACAATAATAAAAATAAAAGCATCACATGTACTATATCACTAACATCTGCAGATTTAGCTCTTTTAGGTGGGTTTAGCAGATATTAACTCTCTCCATAAAACAAGAAAATTAAGTTCAGAGAGGTGGAAGAAGGTTAGTTACACCACAGAGTGATAACGCTGAGACCTGGACCAAGTTCTTCCAAGTCCAATCTCTAGGGTCCTTGCTCATTGCACTAGGAGGACCCTTTGGGTCACAGTAACTCAGGATCGTCCATAATTATTTAATCCTAGCTCTTTCACTTACCCATTGGGTCAAGAGGCAGGTGAGAAAAGGGGAGGAAGAAGAGGGGGAGGTTACGAAGGAGGGGGAGGAAGAGGTTGGAGGCAGAGGAAAAGGAAGGGAACAAGAAAGTAAGGAGGGAGGGAAAGAAAAAAAGGTTGGAAAATGAGAAGAAATCGATCTACGATGCCTATGGTCAGTAGGTGCTGAGTGGTCTTCTCCCGCTTCCTCTCTCCTAGGTAGGAAGGTGTGAGGGTGTGGCTGGGTGTCCTCACAGCGAGGTGACCCACCATTTCTTCACTCCTCTCCAGGCTGCGCTCCTTGCCTTTGTGTCACCTCCCTCTATCTTGTGCTTCATCTTCTCAATGTAACCTCTTCCCCTGCTGCTGTTTTGGTTTACTTATGCTCCAAGAGTCATGGATCAAGGCGGTCTTTAATACTCAATAATCAGATTGTACCAGAATCCAAACATTAGATTTGAGGTTCATGCCTCACAATAATATCCCAGGACCCTTGTCTAGAGATGACTCTGATTAATTGAAAGACTTTTCATAATTAATAAACTAAGACATATAGCTGGTTAATACATTTAAAAGACTTGAGACATGTATTTGAGACAGAAAGTGATTTGCTATCTACATATCTGGGTTTCTGTCTCTCTTCTACCATTTATGGAGTGCTTTCTATATATCAGACCCTGTGTGGCACGTGCAAATGGTACAGTGAGTCCCCACAGCAATTAAAGTAGTTATTATCTCCACTTTACAGATGAGAAAACCAAGGCTCAAATATATACATAGTGTTATAACATATATATAATATATGTTTATCTGTAATAGGCACAACACAGCTGGTATGTGAAACAACTGAGATTAAAACTTAGGTTTCTCTGATTAAAAAAAAATAATGGCTCTTTCTCTGTTCAAACGAAACAAACCAACACAAAAACAAAAATAAAAGCACTATGTTTTAGTACTTTTTAGTAGTCCAAGTATTAGTTTCTGGGAAATCATTGGGATGGAAAGCTTTGTTTTAGAGATAAAAATAAAGGGACTCGCATGTATGTATCTCTCTCTCTCATGCGCGCGCGCACACACACACACGCACACACATAGTTGTCCCATCTAGGTTATAATCCCAGGAACCAGACCTTCACATCTCTGTCTGTCCAGATTTTGTTCAGCATTTATTCTCACACACTGTTTATCATCACCACTATCCAACCTTATACATTTACCACCCACCTGGTTGTGAACCTTCAGTAAACTATCTTTTGGATACAAAGATATGCTCTGTTTCAAACCTGTCTATCCCATCAGAGAGCAACTCCACTGATTGAGCCACTTTGATGAATAGGAGGCAAAAGAGAGAGAGAGAGAGAGAGAGAGTGAGAGTGAGTGTGTGTGTGTGTGTGTGTGTGTGTGTGTGTGTGTATAAACTGAGGAGCAGGTAACCTAGTTCCAAATGATCAGAACTGGCCATTTAACCTGAACTAGAACTTTTTCAAGGCAGCAGGTAAAGTCTGATTTATTCTCATAGATGGTTTCCTCAGAAACTTGCCTTCCTCCGGCCATGTTCTCCTCTTTGAATGAGAACATTCTACATTCAATTTCTTGAGTCCCTTAAATCTCAGGGCAGCAGTCCTGGCTCAGAAAAGAGGACATAATCCATCAGTACCTGAAAACTCAGCCTCGTCTTCACAGAGATGATAATCATTATTAATAGCATTATCTTCAAAGAAAGGAGAACTCTGGGTGTATAAAGTTGAAACTTCAGACTCCAGCAATCGCTCCCATTTCCTTCATATTCTTACCACATTTAAAAATTTTTGCTATGTGCTACTGCAAAATCTCAGTAGCTTAATACAAGTTAAGTTTACTTCTCACTCATATTAGGTACAAAGTGGGAGTTCTTGGTTGATGGATGGTTTCCCTACAACTGATGATTCAAGGACCCAGGCTCCTTCCATTATTGTGACTCTGTTTCCTTCAAGGCATAAATTGCTGTTTCCCAGTGTGTCAAATCTGTCCAGCAGATGAGAGTGACAATATGTAGGGTCACCAATACATCCTCCTTGTAGGATAGGAGATTTCTATGGGCTAGGACTGGAAACGGTACCCATTACTTCTGCTCAAATTCTAGTCACTGGAACTCAGACATATGACCTTGTCTAACTGGAAAGGAGGCTGAGATGTTAAGTTTAGCTGGGTGCCGAGAAAGAACGGCAAACTGTTTAGGTGAACAGCTAATCGATCTCTGCCATACTCACTAGAAAGATTCAGACAATTAATACATACGGTGGAGGATCCTTAGGAGTTATCTATTTGATATCAACATCCAAATATGTCTTTTATAAAATCACTAACAGGTATCCTCTAATCTCTCACTAGAAATTTCTAGTAATATGTAAAATTATTACTTTATAATACCGTATAATATGCATTTTGAATGTATTTATATTCCCTTGTTAACATAGAAAATGCATAAGATGCAATAGACCAGATTAATACAACATGGCATAGTTAAGACTTTTAAGATACTAGGGATATCTAAAGCTGAGCTTTTTTCTGGCAGTCATTAGCCAAAGTCCTTAACATATTTTTGTAATGCCTCTGACTCCTTCCCATTGTGTTTCTAACTTCTTTGATAAAACCAGGACAATTGATCGTTTTGTTTGAGACAAAAACACCGTAAATGTCACTTAAGGTCAATGTTGGTTGGTGGTCTTCAGCCATATTTTACTTCTCATTAAAGCAGCCAGACTGAAAATTGTGTCCAGAGATGATGTTTAGTGAGTCTGGTTTAGGAGTAAGGAAGGCTTTAAGAACCAAGCTGCTTCTGTCTGTGCATATGATCTTTATGTCTCCAGAAATATTCAGAAATTCCTGTTGATTATAGCAACATCTACAGTTCAAAGGAGAATTCAAACCACAAGCTATTCTAACATCTGTTTTGGTTTTATGGTCAATCTGAATAGTTGTAATTTACATTCGCTGGCACCACACAATGAGGTTATTTTCAAACTACTGTACTGTGTTTTAAAAATTTCCTCGGACTTAGATCGTGAGCCAAGTCTTAACTATCCACACCAACAAAGAAGAAAATTCCATGAATTATTAATAACAGGTTTAAAACTCACCTGAAACCATGGTCTTAACCTCTTTGTTACCAGTCTTTATGGCTGACTTCTATTGCAGTTCATTACTAGCTTAAGGCTTCATCAGAGAAACTCATAAGAAGGCAGAGGAACAACAATGTTAAGGGTAGAAGAGAATCAGAGGGCCTGGATACAAGGCTAATTACACCGCTAATTGCAAAAGAGTGTAGCTCAGGAACTATTGCTAAATGGAAACAGGATGCATCATGTTATCAGACCACTCAATAGTTAGAGTAAATCATTTGTGAATGGGGCCACCTATTCTATAACCTCAGTTAGGTATTTCATTAGACAGATATTCTTTATCCCTGTGATGGACCTCGTCAGCCCTCCCAATCCTCTGTCCAATGCTGCCCACATCAGCTAGATACCACCAACTGCCTTTTCCTTACTAGAGGACTCAGACCAGCTTCATTTGTACTAAATTCTGCAATATAGGAATAGTAAGCAAGTTCAGAAGCAGGAATAGAAAATTGCTACATGATATATAAATTAATGGTTACCATTTGTCCATCACTGAGAACGTGTCTGGACTTGTGCAATGTCCTTTGCCATATGCAATCTCACGTTCTTCTTTCAAAACTCTCTGAGGGGTACTGTGTTTTTCCTGTATTGGAGATGGTCTGAGGCACATAGCTTATTTGTGTGACACTGAGTAAGCTTCTTACTCACTGATGGGGTTGGAGTTCAAAGCCAGGTTTACCTAACCCCAAAGGGCAGACCCTCGGCTATGTTGTCTTCTCTCTCTTTGCATTTTCCTCGCCACTTACTTCAGAATCCTGGAGGATTTGACTCTTGCCACCTTGCTGTGGCCTGTGCTTCCTCCTGGGTGTGAGAGTCTGCCAGTGCTCACCCTCTTGTTGCCGACCCCTAGTGCTTCTCTGCTTCTCTCCCTGGCATCCACCTCTCCCATTCCTGGTCCCTGGGGCTAGTGTACCCCTAAACAGACTGTTGTATGAGTAACTGCCAGACAATTGTATTGCCATCTTCTATTAGACATCCTTGACTGCAACACCTATCCTAATTTCAGAGAAGGGAAAATGTGAATAAAACAAAAACAAAAATAAATCACTGGAATTGATGAAATGCCACAGGGAGATCCCACATTTACAATAATAAGGCTTGTTCCATGAGAATTTCTTCTGAATAAGAAATTTAAAAGTCTTGAGATGATTCCTTTAAAATTTTAAGTTCACATAATCCATTTCACAATACAAATTTATGATAGGTCATGGGGAATCAGAAAACATACCTAAAACTGGTAGTTCTCCTTTTGCTCTTATATCACTTACATGCTGTGGCCTCAGAACTTACATCCTAAGCATATGTCATGGTAATGCTCAACAATAGGCTGTCTATGTCAATTTAAGATGCTGGTTGGTGTTCACTACAAACAAAAACACCAGGAAACACCTCCTTGAATAATATGAACATTTATTTTGATTTGTGATTTTTTTTTTTTTTTTACTAATTTAGTGCATAAAACTTTGCTTCTGTTGCCTTATTTACAGGTTGATGCAAAATAGCTAATTCATGGAACATAAACCATGACATCTACACACACTCTTAAGTAAATTGACTAAAAAGTAAAATAAAAAATTAGAGTTGAAACTGACCCGTGGTTCTTATCCCAGTTACTATGGCAGGCCCTTGTTTATTTTTATTAACAGTTTGTCTGTGTTGGTGGGAGCCCCAACAGAATGAAAGCATTTGCACTGTTTATGCACAAGGAGCTTGGGTTGGAGGAAGCTGAAGAAGACATAAAAGACATCTGTGCTGGGACAGACAGATATTGTATGTACAAAAGCGGGCCTGTGCTCGCCATCAATGTGAGTATCCGTGGTTGCATTTCAGCTAGTCATTGCAGGCTAGAGAAAAAAGTGGGAACTTTTACATGTAGTTCTTTTTCTCTCCTGCTTTGCATTCTTACACAATTAAGCTAGGTGTCCAGGTATGAGTTTCTTATTGGAAAAAGCCCCCAGGGCAGAACATAGCATGCAGCATCATTTTTGTTTATTAGTTACCACTTAGGTATTCAAATTAGAGGGAAAATACTCAAAGCACCCCTCCTTTCTCTTTACTTTGTAACTGGTTAACACCCCTCACTCCCCCACCCAATGGCAATTTTCCTTCCTCTATCCCTTACCCAGCTTTGGGAATGTTGAGCTTTTAGTACACATAGGCTAATTTTCAGGACTGCTAAAGTGCTGCTGTTTAACACCATAATAAGCTCGCTGAAAAACTGCTAATGCATTTCTACTGAGCTCTTGTGAATTACTCTCCGGCATTTAGAACATGTGAACAGTTATGGAAGCACACAGTGTCCTAAGACAAAATGAAAGGGGAATGATTTGCAGTTTTAGGGAACATGCAGACCATTTCCCCCTTGGACTCAGCTGGGCACACACTGATGAGGGCGTATATGCATAGGTGTCCAATTTGCCTTCCCGTGTTTATCCCTCTGCACAGGGCTGTATTCTGAAGTAATAACTCTGAAGCCATCACATTTCTGGGCAGTGCAATCCTCATAAGAGGCATAGGCAGGCATGCTAGGGGACAGGGGAAGAATCTCCTGCACAGGGTGGCAATTCTAAGGAACTGAGCTGTAAGTGGCTCCTACCAGAGGGAATAGGCATCATCCATTGATTGCCCTACAGTGTGGACAAGCATTGATGAAAACCTGGGGTAAAGAAGAGAAAATTATGCAACAACAATGAGGCAGCTAAATTGATCACCTCTCTGGGCCAAGAGTGCCTGAAACGTGTTCAAATGGGAGAATCCATTCAATTATTCGCTTGTGCATTCAATAAACAATTACAGAATATCTACATTAGAAGGAAGTTGAATATCCACTGATCTTGGCAAATTTTTTCTTACCAACATTTGCTGGACTTTTAGACTATAACTGTTTTTAGTACAGTAAATAGAGAAACACAAAAATGTTAAGTTTCTTAAAAATGTGGCACTGCCATAAATAAGCAGTAAAACTTCAGAGGAAGAAATGAAAACAGCAATAGACTGATCTTGCTGTCTTGTCTGGGAAAAAGACCTGAAATATGTGTCATGCCAAGGTTACTAATTAGAAATGGGCCTTACTAGGCAGGCAGGGGACTGACAACTGTGATTCCTTCTTTGAAAACTCTTCCTCTCCAGTAGCGGTTGAATGGGGTGTGTGAAAGAGAGCACAAGTCCATTTGTCATTTCATCAACGCGTCACATAATAAGTGACAATCATTAACTTACTAAATGTCTGAACTGGAAGGAATCTAATAGATCAAATAATAATTTATCTTAATTATAGTAAGAAAATTAGGTAAGAAAAAATAATAGTGAGAGAGTGTATTCATTAGTCACAGAGACAGTTTCAAAGTCCCAGACTTGTTAATCTTGGATATACAAATCAATACAAGTTTGATTCCTGGCTCCAGGATGCTTACTAAGCATTTGAAAGTCAGGGCATATTCAGTGGGAACCAGAAAGAGGGAACGCAGAGGTTTGAAATTTCCATAGCTCAACATTCTTGATAGAAGGAGGAAGCTCAGGTGAAAACATCATGGTCACAGCCAGTGGTTTTCCAAAGTCTTTGTATCCAAGAGTAGGACACATTGAGGAGCACATTTGACTCTCTGCTGTTATGTCAGGAATGAAGTTACTACCAGTTTTGAATTCAGTTCCAGTTTCTACAAATTACAGAATGGAGGATCTTTCTGGAGAGTTATTAGGACATCGCGTAGCCACCAGGAGTTGCTAAATCCTCTAGCCTGTGTTGATCCCTGTCCTGGTGACATTGATTCCACTGTCCTGAATACTGAATAAAACAGGGTTATGGTCATGATCTATAGTAATTTAAACTCACTTCCACGTTCAGTATAAGTTTAAAATTGTGAAGTGGGGAATCTAGCCCACATTTCTACCCTAGTACCTTTCAGAGCACACAAAATTAAAAGCAAATGAAATGGATTCGCTATTTCATTTAGTATGGTTGAAAAGGACTCTTGATTTGGCAGCCAAAATTATATTTCCCCAAAATCAAGTCAATTGTGCAAAAAGCTCTTTTTCAAAGGCTCATCATGAAAAGCCCAGTGGGAAGATGGGAAATGGCTCTGCCCTGACACACCTGTATACCATACCATCCCCACCTTCTACTCTTGCTGATGAGGGTTGAAGTCAACAGAACTGGCAGTGAGACGCCTCCCTCTGATCTTCACAGATGGACACATCTGTCAGCACGTCATGTAGGCGCCAGTTAGGGAGGACTTACGTTTTCCTCAGCATTGGCAAAGTCTTCATGATTATGTAAATTTATCTGAGGCCTGTTAACTTGTAATGAAGGAAGAAGATATGTCCTGTTCATGTATCACTTTGCAAGATGTATGAAGACTTTCTCTTTCTCTCAACAGCATGGCATGGGCATTCCCTCCATTTCTATTATACTTCATCAAATTATTCCACCATGCACGGTGCTGCAATGTCACCATTATTAGAATTGGTACATCGGGGGAATAGGTGAGACGGATTGATTTCTATTAGAATTGAGTGATCCTTAGACACGTGGTAGCTGCCAAAATATACCATCCTATTCAGAGCCCAGCAGAAGCCCAGATGGGCTAAAAAGTGTCAGAAGGCTGGACTTGAGGAAATTTAAGGAAATCTGCCCACATTGCGTTTTTCTTTTCTTCCTTTTTTCTTTATTGAAACCCACAGGGAGAGATCTCACTGCCTATTGCAGGATGGTCTTAGGTGTTTATAAAGGGAAGAGTAGAAAAATTGCTAGAAGATGTGTTTTGAGGGTAGGGGTAAATTTCAAGTCTTAGGAATTTTTTTGTTGTTGTTTTTGTTTTTGAGACCGGGTCTCGCTCTGTCGCCCAGGCTAGAGTGCAGTGGTGCAATCTCAGCTCACTGCAAGCTCCGCCTCCTGGGTTCGTGCCATTCTCCTGCCTCAGCCTCCTGAGTAGCTGGGACTACAGGTGCCTGCCACCATGCCTGGCTAATTTTTTGTATTTTTAGTAGAGACAGGGTTTCACTGTGTTAGCCAGGATTGGTCTCAATCTCCTGACCTCGTGATCTGCCCCCCTTGGCCTCCCAAAGTGCTGGGATTACTGGCGTGAGCCACCGCGCCCAGCCAGGAATTTTTTAAAGTAACAGAAATAAGTGTGTTCAAGTAAAAAAAAAAATCACAAAAATTTCCCAGTTTCATCAGCTAAGTGAGCAAACTGCGAAGCTCTTAGAAAAACATTGCTTTTTGCTCACATCAGTTACTACATCACCTCTGTTGGCTGTATCTTTTCCTCATCAGTACACCAGAAAGAACCCAGGCCAGGCTTTCAGGGAAGGCTTAAGTGATACTTCCTAAAGTTTTCACAGAGCCTCCCGACCTCCCTTCTTCTTTGGCTTCTCAGGCAGCTGTAAAGAGGCCTTGTTTTTGCTTCCAGAATGTGTTGTGATGAAGTTTTGAGGAAACGTCTTCTTCTTCAGCTTTTTCTTAAGGAGCACATCTTGTCAGGGTATGATTTTACCATGTCACCAAAATGCTAATACAGACTGCACATGGTAAATGGAGAAGTTTGGTTGATAGGGTGATAGAACTGAATGGGCATTATAAAAAGGGCTGAGATTTGGGAAGAGAAATGGTTGTAGAATTAGACATTTATGGAGCAAAAAGAGATGTCAGGAATCCTCACACAAATAGCTGGAGAAGTGTTGTGTTCAACATCACAAAGCCACCATGGCTGAGCCATGCTTCACTAGAAATCATACACATTGGAAAAGACGGTGGCCTTTCCACAGCCGTGGTCCAGGAATCAAGTCCAGCCAAGGCCCTTGCATCTGGGAGAAAGTAAGACCTTTGTGGATATCCATCCAGAGAGAGAAGTAGAGTGTTAGCAATAAGTGTTAGATCAGGCATCCTTCTAGATTGTAGTTTATCCAATACCCCAAATAATCAGTAGTAGGGAACTACTCATTTGGGCATGAATTTCAGATAACATAGCTATTAAAGTTGCTCATAATTCTTGGGTTATGGGTTACAAGGATCTGCCTTCATAGCCCACATTCATGCATTGTAAAGTCCTGACTGCTACGGTTACCACTTGATATTAATGAACACCAGCATGGGCAAGGTGCTCCGATGACCATCCAGCTCTTGATAATGGTCTTTTATTTCATGGCAACATGATATATACAGCACACAATGAAGGCCCATGGATGGTGGCAAATTAACCCACTGTGCTGGTGTAGACACTTCATTTCGAAGTTTTATCCTCATTAAGAACTCTTAGCTTATCAAAAAGTTGATTTGCTTATTTTGTTTTAAGCAGTTTTGCATTTGGAGATGAAAGATGTACACAGTATTACGTTGCTCACATGATCCCTTCCTACATGAGCCAACACACCTTGATAAGCATAAAGTACTTAGTTAAATAGTACGTTGACCTTTGAGAAACCTTAACCATGACATAATACACTAACACATTTAAATATCAGGATGGCATATAAATAACATCATTTTTATGTATACGCTTTCAACTTCCCTCTCAACCACTTTCTTAGGACATTGTGAACAATTCAAGGAGCCACTTACTTGGATGGTTTAAAAAGTATTTGGCCGGGCACAGTGGCTCATACCTATAATCCCAGCACTTTGGGAGGCCAAGGCAGTGGATCACTTGAGGCCAGGAGTTTGAGAGCCAACATGGCCAACATGGTGAAATCTCTACTAAAAATATAAAAAATTAGTTAGGTGTGGTGGTGTGTGCCTGTAGTCCTAGCTACTCTGGAGGCTGAGGCAAGAGGATTGCTTGAACCCGGGAGGCAGAGACTGTAGTGAGCTGAGATCACCCCACTACATTACAGCCTGGGTGACAGAGCAAGACCCCATCTCAAAAAAATAAAAATAAAAATAAAAATAAAAAAGTATTTCACCCAACAAGGATCTATTATCAGTGGCCACCTTGGGTATCTAGTTGGATCTTCTAAAGCATTTTGTAATTAAGTCTACTTTGATCAATATCAAAATTTATGCCACCCCGAAGGATAAGGCTATACTCTATAGCAGGGATTGTCAAGCTTTTTCTGTAAAGGACAAGATAGTAAATATTTTAGAATTTCCTGACTGTGTGATTTCTATTGCAACTTCTCAACTCTGCCACTAGAGCTTGAAAGCAGCTATAGACAATATGTAAATAAATGGGTGTGGCTGTGTGATAATAAAACTTTATTTACAAAGACAGGATTTGGTTCATGAACCATAGGCTTGCAGAGCTATAATCTATGGCATCTTTGTGAAAACATTCACTCATTCGACAAATTGTTATTGAGTACCTATAATGTGGCAGGCACAGAGCTAGACCAGGAGAGAGCAGTGAACAGACACAGTTCTTGTCTTTATAGAGTTTATGTTCTGTCAGAGAAAAAAATAAACAAATGGGTAATTATAAAAACTGTTAGGACAGAGAGAGTCTAGGGCATCTATGAAGATATATCTTCTTATTCAGGCTCTACATAGAAATGAGACTGGGTCAGAAGCTGGGTCAAAACTGGGCCTGGGGAAATTTAGTGTAACCTGTCTGTGTTGCCTTTTAATTTTTTCATTTGTTTGCTTCCCTTCTGTGGATTCAGACCTTTTTCAGGAAGTAAGCTGACACCTGAAGAGTGACTTGGTGTGTGATGAAAAGGTGGGGGGAGGATGAGAGGGCATGCCAGGCAGGGAGACTAACAGTTGGCAGAAAACAGTTTCTTAAGTAAGCCCAAGTCCCTTGAGCACCCCAGACTTTGTAGCCATGGAAGGTCAGCCAAGAGGCCTGATTTACATGGAGTCGGGGAGGGAACAAATGTGACAAGAATCAGAAGAAAAAGAGGATAGAGATGCAAAGAAATTACAGTAATCAAGAAGTCACAGAGAAGATTAAATATTAAGAAGTCACATCACTTTATGAAAGCTACTTGCTGGCAGGCTTATTTATTTTTTTTCCTGACCTAATTTATTCAGATTTGAGCCCAAAGGCTAGCACTAATTTGCATGTCCAAGAGTCATGTTTGTCTTGAAATCTAAACCCCATCACATTGTAAATGTGCATTTGGAAAGACAACAAATGTAAATGCCTCTTCTGAATGTTATTTAATTGCATTGGGAAAAGAAAAAAATTTTAAAGTTGAAACAGGGAGACTCATTAGCAGCTAGCATTAATGTTAGCAGAATTGGTTACATATGCTATGTGTCAAAAGTAAACTCTAAATGATATTCTTCTGTAATCATTTATTACCACATTGCAGGGATTGCACCAGGGACTGTTGTAATAACGGATATAGCTGTAGACTCCTTCTTTAAGCCCCAGTTTGAACAGGTCATTTTGGACATCGTCACCCAAAGTACGGAACTTGACAAGGAACTATCTGAAGAACTGTTCAACTGTAGCAAAGAAATCCCCAACTTCCCAACCCTCATTGGACATACAATGTGTACCTATGATTTTTATGAAGGTGAGAACAGTTTATAAACTGGGAAGGCAACAGAAAAATGCCAGCAACTCTTTGTTATTCAAACCCATAATTTATATTAAAAGCTCTCCTTTAGAAAATTAATATTTGTGGATTAAAAAGGAACTGAAACAGCCTTTTTTTACTTACTAAAGCATAAAGACACAAGGACATAACGAGCAGCAGAGAAACACCCAGAATGAATTTATATTGAGGGTGAATTTAATCCTCCAAGAACAAATTGAACACTAAAATGTAATTAGTGATGTTCACAAAATCTTATCTCTGTTGATGCCTTTAACTTAGATTAGCAGCTCTAAGAGAAGGGAAGTATACTGATTCTGTGTTTCTGCCATTCGTCTGTACCTTAAAAGGGATTCTGTCCCCAGGAAAGAGTGGGCCAGAAAATGGGGAGAAATGCTTGGGGAGGAGGTATAAATCCCACTGGATGGTGTGATCTGAGTGGGGTTTTGTCTCTCAGCCATGAGTAAGGGGTCCCCAGACCAAGTTTAGAGACAGATGGAAGGTGACTGCTATGTAGCGGGCTTGCTACTAGGGATGAAAGGCCCAGGGGAAGAAACCTTCAAAGACAGACCCCCGAATTTTCTCGTCCCAGAAGAAAGAATCTACATAGAGTTGGTACCATGCCTTGAAGGGCATTCTGAAAATCTGGCAGTATAGTTATATTCTTTTCAAAATCCATACTATTTCATTGTAAATTATTTTTTTATTTTCCCTTTGGATCAAACTTAAAATACTATATTGAATTTTAAGAAATTATGTTTGGAGATAGGCCATATTATCTATACATTTTACTTCCAGTTAGTAAAGGTGGTTTTACCACATATTTGTTGTAAAATAGGAGGGCTGTTGGGGTCTGAAAGGGCTGAGACCCTCTGTTCAAGCCCACTGACTCACAGTCCCTCCATCTCGAGGGTCACTCACTGATATGTTAAGCAGAGTTTGCAAATGGCAGCTTGTTCAAGTCAATGTTTCCTTTGGCCTGCACAGCATTTTTTAAAATGTGAATTATTCTGCCAACATTTACAGTATCTGGAGATGTTATATGAACATCCACATTTCTGGCTTTTTGAAAGAACTAACATTTAAAAATGTAGAATATATGCATGGCAGCCTTGGCAAGCCCTGACCCACATCTGGGGCTACGTTTGCTGATGGGGGGGTGAGGCTGCTCCCCTCCGACCAGACACTTGCGTCGGCATTACCTGCGTGGCTCCTGCGAGGTCTTGTTTGAATCAGCTTAAATCACACTCTGTCAGAGGTGTCGGCAGGCAGCTCTGATGAGAAGAGAAGGAACAAGGGGAGGCAGACTGCCGGGGTGAAAGTAGCATGAAAGAATTAGAGGAAAGGGAGAAAAAGAGAGGAAAGAGCACCAAAAAGGGGATTGCGAAAATAACGGATGGCAACCGTGTGCTATTAGGCCATTTGCTTGAATCCAGGCCTTTTCAGGAGTGGGGAGGTCTATTTCTGGGTGTGCACAGGGTACAGGAGGAGTAATGACATCAGACTTTCCTTTTCTTGCTTCTGCCTGCACTGGAGGATACAGGTGAAGTTCAGTGACGAATGAACACTGGGAGCAGCCTGGAAAGGAAATCGTGATCACAAGGGGTGGCATGCAGCCTGAGAGGTGTGCGGAAAGGGGGAAGGCGGACAGTGTCGCAAAGGGCATAAGGACAGGCGCAATGTGCAAACACTGTCCTGATCCTCAAGTAGCTAAGTGTCTGGAAGCCTCTATTTTTTCTCCCAGCACCCGTCCCTGGGCCATTCCCCAGTCACTGGAGCAACCTGAGATTCTCCTCAAAGGGCAGCTCTCACAGCAACCCGCTGCTTCCTGATTTGCCTGGGCACAGTGCTGGCTACCGTAGCCACTCAGCAGTGACTGACCCCAGAATTGAGGCCCTCGGCCATGGACGCTCCTTCCTACATATGAGACTCCTGAGCCAGGGACAGCCTCGTTCCATGGTCCTCTGGTAGGAAGTCACACAGCTCAGTTTATCCTACATGGGAAGCACACTCAGAGTTAGAGACAGCCGCGGAGGGCTCCAGCCAACAGCAAGCCTCTTGTGACGCCACAGCCAGTGGGGTGGGACATCAAGTCACTAAATGGTCTCCCCTTCCTTTCAGGCCGAGGCCGACTAGATGGAGCACTGTGCTCCTTTTCCAGAGAAAAAAAGTTAGATTACTTGAAGAGAGCATATAAAGCTGGCGTCAGGAATATTGCAATGGAATCTACAGTGTTTGCAGCCATGTGTGGACTCTGTGGTCTAAAAGGTAAGCTTTTCATGAATGCTTAGGGTCAAATTCTCCTTTTTCATGCAGCTACTTTTACACTTTAGGAGAAGAAAAAGGGGTCCAGCTATATATTACCTTGGCTGAATGCATGACTTGTAATTGTATATAATATACATTATCTCATAATATCTTGTGAGTGGCCAGGACATTATTCCTATTATGCAAATAAGGAAACTAAACCTCAAGGGTCAAAATCAAGTTGCCCAAGGTCAACAGCTAGTTGGTGACATGTTCAGGACTCGACAGCAAGTTCGGTTTCCTTCATCCTGGTAGTGGCTGGTAGTTTCTATTACAACTGAATTTATCGAGACAAGATACAAAAAAAAAAATTCCTAAAATAGTCCATCAGTCATAATTTTAAATAGCATGGTCAGGGAAGGATGGGAGGAGAATGTGCCACATGGCTATCTGGGGGAAGAGCATTCTGATCAATGCAAATCCAAGGCCACAGGCAGGAGCACTCAGGGAGAACTGGAGGAAGAGGGAAGAGATCAGGAGGGGAGAGGGAGTGGTGGAGAATGGTAGGAGAGAGGGAAGGTACACAGATTGTATAGGACACTGTGAGAACTCTGGGTGAAACGGAGAGCTTTGAATAAAGAGGTGGCTGGATCTGACCTGTGTGTTAACAGAATCACGGTGGCTGCTGAGCTGGGAAGACCCGAATGGGGTCAAGGGCAGGAGCAGGGAGAAGAACGAGAGGGCGAATGCAGTAGTCTAGTGAGAGTTGATGGACAAAGTGATAGCAGCGGAGGTAGTGAGAAGTAGTCAGATTGTAGAAACATTTTGAAGACAAACCCAGCAACATTTGCTGATGACTTGATGTAAATTTGGGGAGAAAGGCAGGAGTTAAAAGCGACTCCCATGTTTATGGCCTAAACTACTGGAAGCGTGAGGTTGTATAACTGGGATAGAAAAAATTGGGGTGAAGATGTTGGGGTAGTAGACATCAAAATGGAGGCCAAGCAAGCAGGTGAATTTATGAATCTGGAGTTTCGGTGGGTCGTTTGGACTGGAGACATAAAATTCTAAGTTGAGAGCATATAGATGGCATTTAAAGCTATGCAATGGATAAGAAAACGAACAATGAGTCTAGACACAGATGACAAGAGGTCCTTGCTTAAACCTTAAAAGTTAAGGGAGATGGGAGAGAGCAAGGAGGAGTGGCTCATGAAGTTGGCAATACACCAGGGAAGTGTCGCATCCTGATATGTAGAGAGGAAGGCTTCAAAGAAGTAAAGAATTACAGCATAATAAAGCTTCATTTTTATCATAAGTGGAATTTGACTTGCAATACTTGTCCTTATAGTCAATCAATTTTAATCTACACATTACAAACAGAATATATGTGGTCATATTTCTAAGAATGCGTTTTACAAAAAAGCTGTAGTTCTAAGGAGATTAATTGTCGAAGTACTATCCTTAACTACTTGCATCTGTCAGAATATATGCACACGTAAATTAATGGTAAAAATGTGGGAAGAACACACAATGCATTTTTGTACTTTTTTTTTTTTTTTGAGACAGGGTCTCCCTCTGTTGCCCAGGCTGAGTATAGTGGTGTGATCTCAGCTCACTGCAACCTTTGCCTCCTCGGTTCAAGCAATTCTCCTGCCTCAGACTCCCGAATAGCTGGAATTACAAGCTTGTGCCACCACGCCTGGCTAACTTTTATATTTTTAGTAGAGACGGGGCTTTACCATGTTAGCCAGGCTGGTCTTGAACTCCTGATGTCAAGTGCTCCGCCTGCCTCGGCCTCCCAAAGTACTGGGATTACAGGAATGAGCTATCACGCCCAGCCCATCTTTGTAGTCTTTTGAAGGTCATTGCTAATACCCTCTTTTAGAGAACAAGAGCATCTGCTTTTCTCTCTACAAGTTAGTGACAGTGGGAAAGCAGCACCCTACACAGCCTGCAGGGACACCTGGATTCAGATGTTTCTGCTCTAGGAAATGCCTCCTCACATTTATTTATTATATAAACAAGTGATCACTTGAGTCATGTCTCCACCTAATATGTAAGTGTAACATAATCTGTTAACCACTTTATTAATAGTTAAATATAAAATGCCGAGATATCAACATGTTGCCTTTGTGAAAACTGGGTGATGATCAGCAGTTCTTTCTTAAGAGGCACCAATTGGCAGCCAAGAAGAGTTCTAGGCTTGTGGACCTGGACTCTGAGTCTTTCTTTCTGTCTTTAGGATGTTGCAGAAACCTAAGTGAAGTTATTCTAAGAGCCTTTCTGTCCTTGCTGCAAATCCTTGTGACCTTGCTCTCTCTGCTACCTGCAGGTTTCCCTCCTGGATACTTTCTTCTCTACATTTCTGTAGTTACCGGCCCCCACTGCATTTTCTTTCTTATGCTGCTGCTGGACCTGCTGGTAGCTGATTTTCACCTGCAAATAGCTCTCTCCCAGGCCACTGTTGCAGCCTTTCATGGAGTAGACCCCTTCTAGACTGCCAACATTCACACTAAAGCCTGCATCTGCAGCTCTGTAGTTCTTGGGAGTATTTCTATCCGAATGTCTTCATGGTGCCAGGGGCTCTTTATCTCCCTCAGATACTACTGTCTTAAAAGGTGGATTCCTGGTATGCTGCCCCTTGGAAGATCAGCCACCAAGTATAGGGACAAAAATCCCATACATAGGATGCTATCATATTCTCTTCTTTCATTACTACTTCATAACATCCTGTTCCTGCAACACTGAAACTTGGAAGCTGGCACCTGGCACCTTCTGATTTTAACCATAACACACTTTGTGTGAGCCAGAAAAACTTGCTTGGGGAAGGGCTGAGAATGCATCAATGGACAGCTGCTGAAACAGAGAAAGTTAGAGAGGGCATCCAATGGTGAGCAATATGGAAAAAAAGATTTCACCTGGCACTAAGAGCCCAGGGTCCATAGGCATATCCCCGCAACCCCCTCCCCGCCACTGTGAGTTATGGCCCACCCTACCCTGTTTCACCAGACAGCCTGCTGAGACCTCTTCTGTTCCTTTAGTATTACCAGATGACTGGATAACTAATCTGAATTCATACTAAGGTGATGGCTTATAAATAACAATTTTTTACATAAACAAGGGTCTTCTAGAGAACCATTGTACTAATTTAGACGAATTACTCAGAGTTTGGACCATTGCAGAAACAGATCTTTCTATATCTACTTAGCACAAGGAAGCCTTGGGTCCATGTGGATTACCACTTATTATCTTTGCAGTTAGTATTACACATCTCACCCTAAATCTCACCTCCTCAAAAAATTCTTGTATGACTACCTATACTCACTCACTCACAATGGTGTCATTCTATTTCATTTATCTGCATCACATTTACCACTACTGACTATATTTCCAGTCTGTTTGTAAATTAACTTATATATTATTTCATGCATATTAATGTGTGAAGGCCTATATGGATTATTTCTCTCCATTAGAATATAAGTGCCATAAGAACAGGGACCTTGTTTGTCATTGCTGTATCCCCAGTACTTAGAATATTGCCTGCCATATGGGCTTTCAATATTTACTGAATGAGTGAATGAATGAAAAAAAAAGGGCCACTAGACTCTTTTTCACCATGGAAAATGGCCATTGCAAACTTTAACCTTCATTCCCCAGCCATATAAGTGGCTTAGAATTGTCTAAAAGACTTAGGAGTATCCCCTAACTGTCCACAAAAGAGGAAGTAAAGCCTTAAAGTCAAGCCTCCCTTTGCTCTAAGGTCTATACAAATATTTATTTTGCTGGATCTACAACCTCTGGGTTTTTCAATATTTGATAGGTGGACAAACTACCTGTAATAAGGCCACTGACACCCATAAGTCACTGCTGCTATCCTGATCTCATTATCTTAGAAAAGAGAGTTGGGAATCCAGTGCTGTTTTAACAAAGATTCAGGTGAAGGGAAATAGTGGAATTCACTCCATTATTCCGAGGCTAAATTTTCAGCATAAGGTAAACCTGTACAATGGAAGCACTGCGTAATGCTCAATAAATGCATTCTCCTGTCACTTTATAATATGCACATATCTGTGTCTCTCTTAAAGCAAAATCTACTTTAATTAAGCCCCAAACATTCTGGTTAAAGATGATAATCCTCTTGTACTGTGAACTTGTGATAAGTATGTTTAACTTGCATTCATGTTTTAAAGACAGTGCTGCCTTTTGACACAGGCTTGCATGACAATATATGAAGCCTAATATTTGTCTAAGCTTAGGTTCTGCTTAAATTCTCTTCTATGTCTAGTTGTTTGCAGCACTCACAGTGGCTTTTCTTTAAAGCATTCAGTGTTATTTCCTTGGACAGACACTGGTAACTTAGGGAAATATTTAGTCTTTATAATATTATCTTAATACAGTTCAGTGAGAGGGAGCAGAATCTTGACTTTAATTCCATGTTTATATTCTTCCAGTGTTCCCAACAATGAAGGATATTGGACTCTGAGAACTACATGAGGATCATTGATAAAGGTAAAAAGATACCACAAGGATTAAAGGTTATAATCGGTTTGGAGCTAGAGTATTTCTTAACCCGAAAATGGAGATAAATCCAGATTTTGAAAAATCCTTAGGCCAGGGTACAAGGCGACCAATTACAGTGCTCTTCACCTTTACAAGAGAAAAATAGACTGTAGCTCAGGAAGGTTAAATAACCTTCCCACCTTCTCAGAGCTGGGAAACAGGTGAGCTGGACTTTGAACCCAGCTCTGCTGACTCAGGCCCCTTTGCACCCTGCCTGCCATTTCTTGCCAGCAGCCTCCCCATGGAGACAACACGGTCATAGTCTCTGGATAGAAGAGCCAAAATGTGCACCACTAAAAGTCAATGCAGATTTTTCCATTTTAAGGGTCGTGAGCAGATAGTTGCACCACTGCTACAAGCAAACCCTAAGGACTGAGCACATACCAGTTGACTTAGTGATGGGATCAAACAAAACATTAAGCAGATACTTATTTACTAGTATGCAGAGCCCTTATTTTGCC